ACCTCACCCCTCCCTACTGGTGTCTGATGTCCCTCTGAAGGGGCTGGATAGAAACTCAGTAGTCTGCAGGTCTGTCCCTGGATTTCACATTCCTAAAATCTGTTCTTGAAGAATACTGACACATTAAAAAACAAGAGTGGACACACCACGTAAAACTTTTAAAAAGAGCGATGATGGCCACTTATAAGGAGATGCCTACTTACGCAAAAGATTAGTCAGCTGTTTATTTTCTATGGTAGTCAGAGTCGAGAATAAATATATATGTGTGTGTAGATCTGCTCAAATTCACAGATTTACTCATTTGCATATAGGCACATCTGCTTCTCTTATTTTCTTTTTTAAACTAAAGGGTTTTTTTTTCGATGCTAAATATATGCGTTGGTAAAAATGTGTAAAGGAAATAAAAAGTAAGAATAAGAGTAAAGTAAAAGAAGAAAGTAAGTCATTCATAACCCCAAAATAACCAGTATTAACATTTTGGTGTATTGCTTGTGAGTAGTTTTCCTGCACGTATTTCTTCTGTATGATTTTTGAAGAAAATTGGGGTAAAATGTTTATACACTTCTGTATCCTACTTTTTTGATTTACATAGGATTAGCATTTTGCTATTTCTTTAAATATTATCCCCAAACACTGGAAAAAATTATTTCATTATGTCCGCTTAGCGATGTACCAAAATTTATTTAATCATCCCCTCATTTTTGGATACTCCTTTTTTTTGCTCTGCACAATATTTCATTGACCCCCATCTTACAGATCTGAACACATGTCTGATTATTTTCTTAAGCTGATTCTAGAAGTGGGGTTACTGAGTCATTTTTCTTTTTTAAAGTTTGTGTCTTTTTAAGTAATCTCTCACCCAAAGTGGGGCTTGAACTCACAACCTGGAGATCAAGAGTCACATTTTATATCTACTGAGCCAGCCAGCAGGCTCCCCGCTGAGCAGGGAGCCAGGTGGATGTGGGGCTCAATGCCAGGGCCCCAGGATCTGAGCCCAAGGCAGACGCTTAACCAACTGAGCCACCCAGGAGCCGCCTGGGTCATTTTTAAGTCTCTTGATACATACTACCAAACTCTTTTCTGGAATTTCCATTTGGAAATACTTCCAGAGTACTTAATCTATAGCCCTCCTACTCATAAGTAATTTTTACCTCCCTTCCATTCTGTCTCTTGCTGTATTTAACCCTTTCTGCCTTGAATTTGCATTCACTGTGTATAAATCTTCTTTCCCTTACTAAGAGTCTGTCTTTGACCATCTTCATGTGTCTCTCAACACCTAGCATAGGTAGAAGAAAGGGGCCAGTGGACTGAGTCTACATAGGTAATCTGTAAGCAGAAGAGGAGCTCCATTTGGGGAAGAAGCAAGGAGAATGGCTTGAACTCGATACTTTACAACATCAGTTGAAGGGGAAGAAAGTGATTGTCCTCCATCTTTTATACATCCAGGCTCTGGGAGTGGAGGAGAGATGGAAAACTAGTCAAGGGTAGAGCCTTGGAAAAGGAGTCACTTTAGTTCCCTGGCAGGGCTGCCACTAAGGGCGGGGAGAGGGCAGATGCTTGGGTGTAGAAGGAGAGAGACCCCTACTAGCCATCTCGGTCTCACAGGTTTTGACCTTGGGAAATACCTGCAGCACTGATTAGAGAGGCTTCAATAAGGTTTTTTAAATTAAAGTTTTCCAAATTTCAGTTGCACCTTGTTTGCAATTTTCTAATGAGAAGAAAGAACACACACACACACACACACACCTGTGATTTATATCATCCAGACCGGCCACACTTCTGAACAGTTAAGACAGATACAATTATTCAAATGTTCAGGGTGTGCCCATGACATTCATAAGGTCTGAATAAGGTCTTAAAACATATCACACCACTTACTTTAGCCTCATTCTGAGCAATAAAAATTTTGAAATCACAGGTTTGATGGATTAGTTACCTTTTTTCTTTTTTTGTAATACATACTAAAACTATAAAGCTTGTCATTACAATAAAAATTCTCAGCCATTGGTTGTCCCTTTACTACCCATTAGTGGTATTGTACCACATTTTTGGGAAATACAGTTTTAATTGAACAGCTTCTTTGTAATTGTAGTTGTGTAGATTTCTTCCACATCATAAGCTTTCTAAGGTCAGATATTATAGTATATTTGGTGCTTAGTACAGTTTTGACGCTCACTTAATATTTGTTCTCCCTTTGGTTTGGCTTGTTTTGGTAATGGGGTAGTGATGAATAGGAATTCATTTACATATTTAACAAAAATGAAGTCTTCAAGATCAGGATTATAAGGGGGAGACCGACATTTATATGGTAAAGAGAGTTGCCTCTGTTTAAATACTGTGCCATCATTATTTGGACGTGGGCTTTGAGGTGTTCAGGCTGGAAAACAGTAAATTATTCACATACTTTCTAGCTGTCTTTCCTGGGGTAAATAATACTTTTGCAAGTTTAAAAATGAGTCTTGGGGCTATAAAATAGAGTAACACTATTTGGTTCACACAGAAATTCAACCCACTATAATGACCTCATAAAATAAAGAACACTTTTCCATACCTAACAAGTACAGAGGGAAATATAGAGCTATTGATTAATAAGTATTTGTTAATAGATGAAATGGCTTAGCTACAGTCAATATCACTTTACCGTTCCTGGAAAACCATTCTCAGAAACAGAGGAACTAATATTTATTCAGTACATAATATTCTAGGGTCTTTATATATATATCTTGCCTCTGGATTTCCTGTGTTTAGCAGCCACATGAGGAGAGGGTAAAATCATAGTACTAGGGCACAGGTATTTCTGTCTGTCCTTAATCCAAACTTGCCTTCTTCTCAGAAGACCCCAGTGATTGTTTCCAGAAAGGTTCCAAAACCTTATTGGATCCAGAGAGCTGGATCCACAGGAAGATGTGGAAACTCATGGATGACCTTCTGGCTGACCAAAAAATAAATGGCCAAAGGAAGATGTGAATAAGATACCAGAATAAAAGAGTACAATAGGAGAAGAGAGAATGACTCTAGTAAAGGAGAGAAAGCCACCCTAACACTTTAGTTATCTGCTAGAAATAGTGACACTTATCAAGGCCTGGCCAATAATTTTCTCCTCCTTAGTTCTACTTACCTCTTTCCTTCTGAACCATTCTTTCAAATGTAGAGTTCTTAAGCCCATAACTCAGGATAGTTTAACTCATCAGCACATAAGAAACTTGTTCTTCAGAGACTAAAAATGAGCAATACCGTTCCCTTAGCTACTAAGGATCCAGTGGAGGCAAGAACTAGAAGTAATAAGAAAATACACCCCAGGGAGGCATCTGGGTGGTTCAGTCAGTTAAGCATCTGACTTTGGTTCAGGTCATGATCTCGGGGTGGGATCATGGGGTGATCCCTGCATTTGTCTCCCCACTCAGTGGGGAGTCTGCTTCTTTCTCGCCCTTGGTCCTTCTCCTTGCTTGTGCTTTTGCTCTCTTTCTCTCAAATAAATAAATAAAATCTTAAAAAAAATACACCCCAGGGTCAGAAGACTTGTGTTGAGATCCTGACTCTGTCAGGGTTGGGTTGAGTGACCTTATATGTATTATTGATCCCCTCTACTTCATTATTTCTTTAAGTCATTCCCTTACACATATTTTCTGAGCCACTACTGTGTACAAAGCACTGCTTTGGGCACTAGGGCTACAGTAATGGAAGCAACAGGGGAGGTCCTGCTTTAATGGCATTTATGTTTTCATGAGGTTAATTCAGTTGGATAAGTAATCAAACAATGTGGCTTCATAGTGAGCAGTGCTATGGAAGAAATAAAACAAGTAATAAAGACAAGTTGGAAGGAGGGTTCCCCTACAGAGGGTGAAGGGAAGGTCTCCCTGAGGCAGTAACATTTGAACTGAGATCTGAGCATACTAGAAAGGAGCCAGCCAAGGGAAAGAGTAGTCCAGGCAGAAGGACCAGCAAACCCTGGATTGGGAATATGTTTGGGGCTGTATGACAACTCTATTTGGCTGTTGTACTAGACCGACGGCCTTGACACAGTAGTCCAGGTGACCCTAGAACTTCCCTGGTCATGTCTCAGGGGTGGTGGGGCTGAGGGCGGAGGCTCTGCAGGCCTGCATCACCATGCCCAACACACACAGCAGCTCCTTGTTTATCAGAAGCATATACTAGGATGCTGTTGAAGCTTTTATCTGAAGAACAGATGTCAAGATAAAAAATCTTGGTCTCAGAGTTCTTCTCCCTCTGTAATTGTCCAACTCTATGAAACTTTATCATACAACCCCTATGATTCCTACAGAAGGATTGACTTTATTCACTAGACAGAGTCAGAGAGTGTCAGTTCCAGGGACCTGGCTGTCTTCTCACCAGATCATCCCATCCCCTTCCCGTACATTGGTGGATTGGAACCTCTGATGCCCTCTCAGCCTGTCCCAGGTAGGGAGAGACGCATGTCTCTGCCTCCTCCTAGCAGATTATACTGGCTTCCTTTTTACCCCTGTCCAAATAAGACACTCTGTCCTACACAGGAGAGCTTTGTGGAGACAGCTGAGGAGTGGCTCCAGTTTTTCCCAACCTGTAAAATGCAAAGTTGGCCAGCTGTCTCTCTTCTTAACTCTAAAACTCATATCTTTCCTTGTCTCCAGAGAACTGCCTGGCAGCTCCCAAATAAGTCTCTCTGTCCTGGGGTTTGGAGGAAAGAGCTGTGCCGAATGTGAAATCATCTTCTGGTAATACGAATCTAATTAGCTCTTTGACTGACAAGAGGAAGCAGAGGCCAAGAGGGATTTAAACAACCCCATTCTCACATATTTCAAAACAAGAAAAGAAACGGACAAGGAAATGGAAAGATAATAAAGAGACAAAGCCTAGGGAACATTTGGAGAAGGGGGTAAGTAAGAAGGAAAGGGAGAGGAGGGGGGGAATATCAAGTGACCGAAATATTAATCCTTCCTTCCCTCAACTTTACCTCTTCTCCCCCTCTCCACCCTCCTTCCCCTGTCCCAGAGAGAACTTACTCGGAGGTTGATGATTTCTCTTTCTGATTCCATCTTGCTGCCCCCAAGTGCCTCACACAGACTGGTTCTGGTAACAGACTGTGTGGGCTACTCCAGGCTCAGCTGTCTGAGTCTCTACTGCTTTCTTTGGGTGGGAGAGAGCACACAGCTGGCAGGACAGACCTGCTATTTATCCATCTGATGTGGGATGCCTGTCCTGGCCTCAGCCCCTGGGGGAAGTGTACACATGCATACGCTTGTGTGCGTCTGCGTGTGTGTGAACACATATGCACTCCAGAGGATGATGTGTGGCACGTTGCTAGGTGGCTTTTTGAGTTGGTAGTGACAGCATCATTTTCTTTACTGGTGCCAGTGCCCCTCTAGTCCCAGAGGGGCCAGCCAAGGTCACTCAGCCTGCTTTGAGTTAGCTTTATCACTGGCATAGAAACCCTGTGGATTTATCAAGGAAATTGAAAAACAGCCTGAGGATGCTGTCTGACTTCACATTAGTGGAGCCGAATAAGGTCCCTAGTCATCAAGGGTGGGTGGACTCCAGCATATTTCCAAGATGCAGGCTGACAGACTTCAGTCTCTTGTTCCCTCTATCCCTAAAAGTTAAAAAAAAAAAAAAGCAGCTTACCTAATAGGTCCTGAAACATAAGCCTGATTCTACAAAGTGAGTAAGCAATAAACTTTTATTGACAGGTTATTTGATGTCCTCATTTTCTCCCTTGATTGGACAGGAAGAGAACAGGAAAAAGTTATACCTTCACATTCTGTTTATGCAAGTAGTTGCATTTTCCCTACTTTCAAATTAAAGCTACCAGGAGTGAGTCTTTTTTTGGAAAGGTTTTCTTTTCTCTTGTTTACCTTAGAGCCTAAAACTCTTCTGGCTTCTTCCTGAAGCTAGTTTTAGACACCAGCTTGTGTGGGCATGGGTATGCATGATGCATGCATGATGGGGGCAGCAGGAAATGGGAATAATCCAATTCAGAGCTTAAAAGGAGTGAAGAGAGTAGCAGTGTCACAAATTTACTCTCACCACACTTAAATGTACCGCCCGAGATGTATGTGTGTGTGTGTGTGTGTGTGTGTGTGTTTGGGGGGCAATTCTTCGTTTCTATTAAATGATGTAATGTCCCCACCCTGCTAGACATGTGGTGAGTGGGAGGGTTGGTCAATGGGATGAGGATCACATTTCAGTCTAGTCTAACAAACACAGTTGGATTTAATTTAAATGGTAAACAGTCCAGTTTAGATAGAATGCTTAGGCTTTCCAATTTCCACTTCTCTCCCCCCAAAGATGGCATCAGTGTGCATGGGAGAGGGGATTGGTTTATAAATGCTTGGAGGTGGAGGGGTAGCTCTTGGAGGTGGATGGGTCTTCGATGTACCCTGGAGCCTCTGCTAATTTCTGCTATGGAGTTGCTGGGTGGGGCTGAGACGGTGACTGCTGGGGAGAGACTGGGTGTGTTCCAGGGCCTCCTACTACTATTGGTGGCTGATGACTGTGGCCAGGATAACTCATGGTCCATTGTTGCTTTGCTCTTCAAGGACCCCATGGGCTCCCTCACTGACTTTGCCCATCTTAGCTTTTGTGGTGATGTGAACCATCCTGAGACCCCATGAGTCTATGAGTCATATGTGTTCCCATCCCTAAGGTACCAGCTCAATGGCCCACCCTTCTAAGATGGCCCCCTCTAAACTGTCCCTAACAGACACTTGGCTACAGCTCCTCTTCTCCCTTAGATACACGGGAACTAAGAGCGACTGTGAAGTCACTGACTAGAGGCAAGCTCAAGCCAATTTCTGGGAAAGAATTGCTTTCATGTGGCTGCTCTAGCTAGTGTGAGGGTAGCCTTTCAGGTGATCTCTTTCTAGACTCCAAAATAGGAGTGACAGATGGAGTCAACTCTCTTCTTGGCATTCCTTCAAAGATCTACTGGTGATATCCATCACTCCCAACCGCCAAAACTACACCGGGGGTCAAGAGCTGTTCTAAGCACTTTAACACACACTCACTTAGTTCCCATAGCATTTCTGCAAGACAGGTAATATTATTACTCCTGTTTTACAGATGAGGAACAGAAGCATAAAGGGGTTAAGTTGCCCAAAGTTGAATGGAGATTCAAACCTAGACAATTAGAAAGCAGAGTCCATGCTCTTATCCACGACATTGGCTCAGAGAGGTTGAGACCTGTGTCTGAATACCTGCTTTCTCTTTCTCTACTTGAGTATTTCCCATAATTCCCATAATCCAGAATCAGAAAAGGCGGGCTTTGTCTTCTTTCTCTTCCTGGCATGTGCCTTACATGGAATTTTATGGTAATAATTCTAAGAGGAAATAAATTTAGAACATCCCCATTCTCAGCAAAACCTGACAAATTTCTCATTCTCGACAAGACACAACAAAAATACCATCTTGCTGGAAAACCTCATTTTGGATGTTAGAAGCAAAATACCAACTATTTCTCTTTGCATTCCCGTTGTGACAATCCCAACCATCCTTTAGATAATATGGATGCATCTGGCTAAATAGAGAGGAAGTCAGAGCCAGAAAATGCCAAACAGAAAAACACCTGAACGTATTCCCATCCTACTCCCACCTCCCCTAAATATCCTATTGATTTTAAAAGGAAACATTTATTTCTAGTTAGCTATAATAATGGTTTTGGTTTGTTAAGACCTTTCCGGATTTGGATCTTTCCCTACCTCTTGAGCATCATTTGGAAGTAAATTTGGATTTGGAAAGTGGTTTGTCTACTGTGACTCTGGAAAAGGGGTCAGCAAACTTTTTCTGTAAAGGTCCAGAGAATAAATACCTTTTAGCCTTGGAGGTCAAATGGTTTCTGTTGCAATTACTCAACTCTGCTATTGTACCGTGAAAGCAGCCATAGACAGTATATAAACAAAGGAGTATGGCTATGTTCCAACAAAACTTTATTTACAAAAACAGATACTGGACTAGATTAGACCCCACAGGTCATAGTCTGCTGACTTCTAGAATTTACACAGAAAGAGAATCTGGAGTTCTAATTAGCATAATCATGTCCAATTTTCCAGTCCACATCTTTTAAACCTAATTCCCACTTGAGAGGGCACAGCTGAGCCCCTACTATAAGGATAATATGTTAGGGGATCCCTGGGTGGCGCAACGGTTTGGCGCCTGCCTTTGGCCCAGGGCGCGATCCTGGAGACCCGGGATCGAGTCCCACGTCGGGCTCCCGGTGCATGGAGCCTGCTTCTCCCTCTGCCTGTGTCTCTGCCTCTCTCTCTCTCTGTGACTATCATAAATAAATAAAAATTTAAAAAAAAGATAATATGTTAAACACCAATTATGGGGACATAAAATCACAAACTACATGCCCTTGTGAGACACAGGCATGGAAAGTTAACCTTTGTGAAGTGTGTGTGCTCTGACATTAGGCTGTGATACTGAAACTATCCCTACCTGGAGGTTATCCAATCTAGAGAGGAAAGGTTTCTGTTTCTCCTTACTGCTAGGGTGACTTTTGCAGTGTGAAGCCCAAGGGGCATTTTTAGGGAAACTGCCTCTTGGCAGTATATTTCTAAGGATATGCTTGAAGTTATAGATGCATAAACACTCAGAGCGACTCAGAAAGTGGTCATGGAATGTGCGGCCTGCAATGAGACACTAGGGGTATCTTGCTAGGTAGGAGGAGCAGAGTTGCAGTGTACTGAAGATGCCAGCAATAAGAAGATCCATTAATGGTGGGTGGTGAGGAAAACCCCAGGGTGAAAACCAGGTGACCTAGGTTCCTCTGTGTCTGCTGAGGTACTGCATGTTCTTAGGCAAGTCGCTCAACTTCTCTGGGTCTTATGTTGTCCTTTGTGAAAAGTGAAGCTGTCAAAAAAAGATGATTCCTAAGATGCCTTCAGCTCTTAAAGTCTGTTTCTAGTGTGTGTTTCTATTAAGTACTTCCTGCATGACAGTATAACATCTCAGATCCAGGTCTAAATTTCAATATGTACAAGGATCCCTAATAGAATATTTATGTAATAAGAAAGTTTTTAGGAAAAATGATCCCTGTTACCCCTGCTAGTGAGACCAGGCAGGGCAGGCACAGAACTAAGATACAGAAGTGAGAAGAAAGGCATACTTCAGAATATGCTTACAAACTCCTTTATGCTCATTTACCCATTAATTCACCCACTTCCAGACTCACTGCTCCAGGAATCCCAGGGCCTGGATAGATGGAAAGGGAAACTTCTGGGGTGCTTAGAGAGGGAGTTACCAGTTCAAGGATTGATAAAAGGCCTAGATTGGCCACATGATAATTCAGAATTAGATTAGATTACATGTAGCCCTGTCTCTTAGAACTTTCTGCGATGACCAAAGTGTTAAAGAACATTTCTGTCCTCACTATTCAGCCCAGCAGCTATTAACCATATGTAGGTATGGAGCCCATGAAATGTGGTAGTGTGGCTGAAGATCTAAATTTTAACTTTCATTTAATTTTAATAGATTTACATTTAAATAGCCAGCAGCTACCATATTGGACAATGGATATCTAGACCAAAATTCAGTATATTTAAAATATTATTTAGCACTGGCCACCACATAATTAATGCTCCCATTCTGGCCCCTCATCTCTTGATAGATGTTCATTGAGCAAAAGCCTGATTTGACATAAATAGGAACTCAGGTCACACAGCTCTCATGGGAATGCCCCCTTGAACCCCAGGGATGCTCTTGGTTGTGGTGAGTAAAATTCCCCTCTGTTCTTTTGCATTCAGGGTAGGGGGATTTTAACTGTGACTCACTGTTCGATGAATGATTAATAACAGAGTCTCTTCATGTTGATATGGAACACTTGCCACCTCTCACCTCTGTGATGAAATTAAAAAGTGCCTGGCACTCTCTCTTGGTGGCATAAGGGAGGGTACTAGTTGATCTCTTCTTTGTAACAAGAGAGAGACATTCATGTTTCTTTTTTTAAAGATTTTATTTATTTATTCATGAGCGACAGAGAGAGAGAGAGAGGCAGAGGGAGAAGCAGGCTTCATGCAGGGAGCCTGACGTGGGACTCCCTCCCGGGTCTCCAGGATCAAGTCCTGGGCTGAAGGCGGTGCTAAGCCACTGAGCCACTTGGGAGGCCCCATTCATGGTTTTTAAACTTTTCAAAGCAAGGCAACCTTTTGCATTTTTTAAGAGTGAAATCTTATGCAGAAGTTAATATAAAGCAGGTTAGGGGCACCTGGGTGGCTCAGTCAGTTAAGCATTCAACTCTAG